CTTGAGAAGGGCTTTAAATTCCTGATGATAATTAAATCGCCCTTCGCTGGTGTTAACTACTTCGGTTGGCAAAAGTTTTATTGAACACTCACACTAATAATGAATAAATGTCGAGCTAAACTCACAAGTTTTTATGTTTATGTAAATCTTAGAAAGTTCCAGAAGCGTCTCTGCATATATTTGAACTTGCGGGACAATGCATACTAATTATCAAACACTGCATTACGACTATGCCTGAAAGGTGACAGAATGAATAGAATTACATAAGTTGATTATGAAACAGCTGGCTATGAACTAATGATAACAATGATGAAAATAATTTCTTTATTTAAAAATTATACATTTCTGAGGAACAAAGTGCACAAGCCATATACTTTATCAGAAACCAAAATGATCAAAATCTATACCATATTTTAACCCAAAACAGCACAATCCAGCGTCTCGCATACTTATGCAAGCTTATTAATTATGCTTATAATTATAAAGAGAACTTAACACCCTTGAGGATCACATCTCAACAAAGGTTCTTTTAATGTCATTTCAGGCACAATAAAGCAACCAGGTTACTCTTACGAATAATTTGCCTTGGGCCTAGATGCAGCAGGTTAAATTTGCTCATGTAGTATAGCAAGGGCATGCGTCTCCAGTTTTAAAAACAACCATCACTAAAGATGCAATGCAATTTGCTCTCGTTGACGCGCGAAACTTTATGATCTGGTAACTCGTTTGATTCGGGGATTTTTCTTTGCTTTGTTTGGCACATTTGCAATCAGTTCATTGTCACTTTCTGCACGAAAGAGTATCGTCACGAAATGAAGACTTCGCCAAGCAGGAGGTAGGTAAAGCGAAGTATAAGAATATTACTGCTGATTTTACCTGGGTGGAGTTTTACAATCGAAGTTTAGAAATTTGGGAAAATCCCAACACTTGTGTTTCAGGGTGAGGGCATAGCCTAATCCAAGGGAAGTTTCTCTGGGAATTGATATTCTCACACTTGCTGGCCAATGGCTGGTAAATCGTAATGCCTCTTTTCCACGGTTATCCCTATCGATGGGTTCCATAGATTTTCAGTTCGGAAGACTTTCAAAAGACTCTGGACGTTTTGTTGAGTGAAAAGCCAGCTCTGGCTCTTGTGATACGGAAAATGTTATGATCAATTTTTGGAGTGATCTTGAGTGAAACGTTGTTTATGATACGTTAAAAGTTCAGCTCATAAATTCCGACAGTACGATTCCTCTCCCTAAATTTCCTTAGAATACCAGTCGTTTCACTTCATCTTCCACTGTGATGCACATCATTTGACCGAAATTGTTTGGACGAATTTGCACCACGGAATTTGCAAGTAGCTATTTCTTTCGGGAAAATTATTGTTGGCTTTCCTTTCCGCACTAATCCCGCCGGGGAGAGCCGGCGTGGTCTTTCTCGTTACCTCAGCCTAGTGATATTGAACGTTTTCATATTTCACAACAGACATCATATGTTTTTCATATCGAGGTTTTTAATTCACTCGAGATATAGACCAATTTCGATATATTAAAATTCAGCCTAACACAACAGACCTCAGCACGAGGCTCAAGGGAATAAACCTCACAAACTCTGGAGTGATTCCCCAGAGCCTTGTACTGAGATCTATTGTTTCAGGCTGAATTTAAATATATCGAAATTGGTCTATTTAGGGGATCACAGACCCTTTGCACGGATGTTCTATCCTAGCTCTAAAATAGTTATAAAAACTATTCATAAATACAATCTGACAACAAAAGCATGGTCATTAAGAGTCAACGAGATAAGTGTTCCCTTTGCTAGTATAGCGGTCGCTAGCGCCCAAAACTGCTGACAAGTCTAGATTCCATGGCTATGAAGATCTACGAGATGTCAGCGAACGTAACGCTAAATTCCCAAGGGCGCAGAATCGAGAAAAAGGTCCTCAAATGCTACTCTGACATAGATCGTTGCAGATAAGGATCTGTCGGACACTTACGTATCACATAACACACCTTGGCAACGGCGGGGAGGGAGTGGGGAGGGGTGGTGGTTTGAAGAAGACTTCCCTTGGGTTTTCGTTGTTATAAGACATGCATAAAAGGTTTAGTGTTAAATAAATATCCCTCGGCATGCCCTACGCGAGTTGAAATGAAAATCGTCTGACCTCACATGACGTTGCTAACGCCGCCATCTTGGATCCTCCATTTTGCATGGACTTCACTATTTTTCCAGAGCAAAATAATGTGATTTCATGGGCAATGAACAGAAAAATGCTCCTAAAAAGTGACTAGTTACTAAATCTGCAATGCTGCTCAGGAAAGCTGAAAAAACAAAAACCGAAAGAATTTTCTCAAAAAAGTCAGAAATTTGGATAACCGGCATGTAAATGCAGTTGCGATGGCAACAACTTATCGACTGTTAATTGTATGGATCAGCTACTCCGGCAATGCCGACCTTCTTCGTAAGCACTTGTAAACTAATTATTTAATGGTATTGGTTTCAGTATTCAGAGCTTAGCTGCTAATTTTGATTCGTTTCTGTAGGATTGCTTTTTGACGCCATGAAAGCTCAACGGGAATTTTTGAAAACTATAGGTTTCTGACGGTACTTAAAAATTCGCCTGTGTAGAAATGCGTTATGGCCTCGTCGAAATCAAGCTATTTAGAGAAGGGCGCGGCCTATCTTTCCTCAGAAAGTGAACAATTTGCTGAGCTTGAAGACGCCGAAATTTTGACGCTGCTACAGTCTTCAGACGGAGAGAGTTCGTCTGACGATGATCTTGTTCTTCCATCAAACCAAAAAGTCTCGCCTGACCCATCTTTGGGTGATTCGTCAGTGTGGAAAGCTGCAGCAAATCTTTTTAACTTTATGGAAGGCATTGGCTTTCTTGCTGTGCCCTATGCGCTCAAAGAGGGAGGAATAGCCGCCATGGTAATGTTTATAATAA